TCCCCCCCCCCCCCCCCCCCTAGCTCTCTGTCTGCCCTTTTTGACTCCCTCCCTGGCTGGCTGGCTGCAACCGACCGACATGCTCAGCACACGACATGCAGTGTGTGCGGATGGCCGCCACCCCTCATGCGTACGTGTGTGCGATGGTTTGTGTGTACTATATGTGTGTGTGTGGTCGAGTGACGGACGGAGGCTGACACGCGCCTCTCGGACCGACAGCATACACCATGAGACCCCCTTTGTGTGTCATGCGTGTGTGGTGATCTGACCATTCACCGAAGCGTCTCCCAGTCATGGTCATCGTGTCTCTTTCGCACTTGTTCGTTTCTTCTCGCCCTTCTCCCTCGATCTTTCTCCTGCCTCTGTTACGTGTACGTGCCTCGACACATCCATCCATCCATCCAAGCCATCCCAGCCATGTCAGACTCAAAAGGAAATGGGCAGACAATCAACGATAAGATACTCGCGGACACAGACAGGCAAGCTGCTTGCCATCTTGAGGTGGAGATCGACAGGGGTGAATGCTTTGCTGTTCCAGCACGTCGCTGCTTGCAGGGTGCTTCACTCCTGCCCGAGGGATGTGGACTGCAGACACATTGCCAAACGAACAGACAGACAGCGAGACCGTGGAGCAGACCAGTGCATCTGTGTATGTGTCTCACTCACACGTTCAGGCACAGGCGGGCCCGGGAGGTCCTTGTTGGCATCGAAAGTGGGCTTGGTGGCGGAAGTGGATCTGGGTGCCGGAGTGGGCTTGGGTGTCGGAGTGGGCTTGGGTGGCACAGCGGGCTTGGGTGCCTTGTGAGTCAGCACCTCGCCTTTTAGATCGACGTTCTGGTAGGGGGACTCCTTAGGGGTGGCGGCACCATCATGCAGACATTTCAGTGGGGAGTGGCTGATTGAGTGGGTGGGTGCGTGAGTGACTTACTGATTCTGCTTCTTCATGAGGTCCCTCGGCTTTCACCGGTTGTGCCGCTGGCTCCTTCACCTACAAAGAAAGCGTCAAGGCCGGCAGGCACCTCCGTCCGTTCCTGTCTGTCTCTGTGCTGCGCTCTCTCTGCGCATGTGTGCACCCGGCCGCACTCGCCTGATCTCCTGAAAAATCCAGTTCCGCGTGTGGTCCGTAGAGGAGATCCTCCTGCACACACACACACACACACACACACACACAAATGCCTGGCTGGTGGATGGATGGATGGATGGATGGATGGGGACATGGGTAGCCAAACGGCTGACCTCCTTGACAGGCGCCGGCTCCTGTTGTGTGGTCTTCGGGATGGGCACTACCTTGCCCGTTGTTGGATCGATCATTCCCCCGATCTCTGCGTAGTCGCCTTCCGTGTCGGCTGGGGCCTCTGGCGCAACTTGCTCTGGCACCTCCAGAATCGCCTTTCCCTTTTGTGGACATCATGACACCAAACGAAACATCCAGAGACTCTTCTCTGATCGGTGGGTGAGTCCTCGGTGATCGCACGTGAGCAATGTCTCTCTCTCTCTCTCCGCTTGTGTGTGTGTGTGTGTGTGCGTGTGTGTGTGTGTGTGTGTCTTTCTCTACCTACCGTCACGGGGTCCGTCCCCACTTTCTCTGCCCAGCCGACTTCGTCGTGCTCCACAGTTGACTTTGGCTGACGACATCACACACCGACACACAGGCAGACAGGGAGACAGGCATCGATATCGATCAATGAATGCCTCAGACGTCAGCAAGTGACTGAGTGATTTACTGCCTTTGCCGCCTCTTTCTCCGATGTGTCGGAGACGGGCTCAGGGGCCGTGGTCCTCACGATCTGTGCGTACTCGTCGCCGAGAGGGCCCTTTTTGTGGGGCACGGCGGCGGCGCTCACGCTCATGCAGCACACACAGAAGTGGTGATTCCCGCACGGCTCGCTGTTCGGGATCCTCTTGGACCACTTGCGGCACTCGAGACCCTTGTAACACTCCTCCTCTTTCCATGTCCCCCATTCCTTGGCCCTCACTTTCCTCCCCGTCTTCTTGCACAGCTCGCCCAACCCCGACCCTCTCTGCAGCACCAAACCGAAATAGGAACCGACGCATGCACGCAGCGGAGCGATTTGTTGTCTGTCGATCCGTTGCGTACCTCGCGCTTGTAGTCCGGAGTTTTCTCAGTGTAGCCGGATCCATGGCAATTCCACTTTCCCGTCTCTATGAGGGAGCTCCCGAGAGAAAAACCTGCAGGCAAGCGGGCACACCGTGCAATCCACTCAGGGCTGCGGCAGTCTCCTACTCGGCAGGCATGCGGCTGCAAGGGCGCCAATGGCGAGGCACACGAGGGGCTTCATCGTCGTTGGCTAGAACAACTGAACACGGAACTGAACACAGCAGGCATGGGCATTCCGGAATGCATTGCAAATGTGTCCTGGCAGTGAAGGTAAGGCCAGGGCTGCGCTAACCTGCCTTCGGGCTTCGAAAAAAAGAGGGAGAAAAGGCTTCCTGACGACGTCAGCCCCCAATCGCGATCCAATTTTGAGACTGAGCCCCCAGGGAGGGATGAGATTGTTCCTCTTGGAAGATGCTGCCCACGGAGCTCACCGCCGCTCATCCGCAACACGACGTTGAACACGCCATGGAAGTCAGCGATGGACCAGCAGATCTTCTCAGCGGCGAGGAGCATGTCATTGACCCAGAGAGCACAGGCGCCACCGGGACGTCGACCAACGACGTGACCTGCGGCCTGCCTACACAAACCTACTCAGAAGAGGGGGTTGTCTATGATGAGGACGGAGAAAAAGACGGGAGCCACTTGGACGGGAGACCGCCGCGCAAAGAGGAGCCGGAGCTCGAAGAAAAGGTGAATGAACTCCGAGCATGCGCGGGAGATGCAGCCTCGTTTCAGGAGTTCCAAACTGACTTGCGATATGAGGGAGGCTCGTTTGTTGGTGCGGTCTTCACTCCTGAGCCGCTTTGGACGACTGCAAGAAGAGTCACAAAGGTAATCATTCGCACAATGTCGCAGTCCTTCCAGGCCTGTCACGTTCCAGGTACTCTTATTCCACCTAATTGCAGCCGTCGGCTTTGCAGTCTGTTGGGCCCTGGTGTGGCTGGCGTACTGGTCGGCGTGCGAGAAGATGAGCGTGAGAGCACCAGGCATATTCCTTGATGTAAATCGCCGCATCATCGTTGCCCTATGCTATGTGGCTACGATACTAGTTGTGGCTGAGGGCAGCGGAATTGGGGCTGTCCGCCGCTTGAGGACGACCTGGTATTTCTTCATTCTTGGGTTTGCCCCATACGTGGTTTTTGCACTTTTCCACCACGTCGAGGCCCTGCGGAAACGCCACCAATATGCGCCGCTCATGCTTTTCCCCATTACTCTGCTCGTACCCCTCATGTTAGGAAAGAATTGTGATAGTAAGCACATTCTCTGTCGTTGTGCCTGTCCTGTCAGGGTCTTTCGCCAAGTGGCTCTTACATCGACGATAATCGCCAAGCGGGCGTATATTCTCAAGACCTGGGTCATGTTTGGAGTGGTCATGTGTCTTTCGTTTGTTGCCTTACCCCTCTACTTCGTACCACTTGCCCGGACTGCAACAACAGATCGCGAGAAGACAGGCGTCCTCTTTACTTGGCTGCTCGTAGTGTCGCCCATTGTTGCGACCCGTAAGAAGCGACTTGACCGATGGACACATTCGCATGTTTCTTGCATCTTTCCATGCGTATTCGGTATGTGTTTCAGTCACAGGCATCGTTCGTTCTCTGAAGGACGGCCCTGCCTTGCAAACGTCTCCAGCAATCACGTTTGTAGCGTTCGGCTTCGCACTCTTCGCAAGGGTCGTTCAGGCCGAGATGGAACATATCTCCTCTCAGGTAGGTGGGCACATCAACGCTGTCCTCGCGTCAGATCCATTCCTCGTCTTTCCTGGACATGTCTCTCCTTATCAGCTTCTGTGGAGCTTGATCTTTGCATCATTTGACTTCGTTACCGACCTAGCCATGCCGTATTTCGTTCTCATAGGTGGTCCCCTAAGAAGAAGTCTGGTGCGATTCCTATGCAGGCCGATACGAGATCGGGACTTCGACACTGTCACTGCTGAAGATACTCAGGAAACGTGCGATAAGCAGGCGCCGGTCATGCTACTCAGCCGCCTTTCTATGACCATGATGAGTTTCAAGTCGGCCGGTCGCTACTCTATGAGGTCTTTGAGCACGTTTCTGGACGTCCCCACTCAGGTTGTTCAATTTGGTTATCACCCGATATTCCTTCGGCGTCTCAGCGATGTAAGCAAGGAAAGCGACAGACAGGAAAATCCATTCATTCTACACTTTTTTTGCCTCCACTGCTGCAGCAAGTGCATGCCTACAGCTTGATCGAGTTGACAGTGCTCATCTTCACCAACCTGTTCAACATCACTGTCGGCCAGATCCTCTTTCCATCCGTCCGTCACCTGCTAGAGAGGCTAGGAGGTCTGGGAATCATGGTGCTGATGGAAGTCTTGTTCGAGGGTGCGCTCTACATCTGCCTCGTGCGCTCTGCCAACTTGCCCCTGATTAAGAGCATAACGGAGCCGGGCGTCATCAGGATGCACTTGCTGGCACTGGGCATCTGCGGCACTGCTATCATCATTCGCAATCTGCCAGTCTATGTGCTGATGCTCTTGACCGCTGCTGATGAGAACAAGTATCAGTCAGTAAGCATATACGAGTTTTGTCCTTTTCATTCAAGTATGTTTGAGCTGTCATAACCTCTGTGGACGATTGGTTTGATTTGCGGATGGAGACAGAAACACACGATGTGACATCCTCTTTTCTCAATGCACACCGACAATTGTCGTCTCGTACATGCTCTTTGGGGGGATTGATGGATGGATGGATGCATGGATGGACCAGATACGTCGCGACTTCGTCAAATTGAGCGCTTCCATTTGTACATTGCGCGCAAACGCCTCGTATCTCGCTGCAACGATACAATGGCGAGCAACGAGACACAATCGTCAGACCAAAGTCATAATGAGACACAAAGCCACACAGTCACTGAGTGCATGCGAAGCGTCCTTGAGTGCCTCACAACGTCATGTCGTCAGTTGGCTTCCATGACAGGAGAAGCAAGGCGCTGTGACATTGATTTCTGTGCAGGGTGGGAATGACTGGTTGGCTCTGTCTCAGCAATCGCACAGAAAGACATGCCAACTCGCTCCAGCCTCGCGGCCGATTTAGTAATTGCACATGCGATGTATAGGGCTTTGTTTTGTCTGTTCGGTTGGGAGACAAGAGTACATCGCATCGTAGGTGTGTTGGTTTTCTGTACGTACGTGCGGTGTGCGAGTGTATGGGATCGGCCGCCGATCGCGAGTCCTTTACCAACCACAAACACACGATCGACCGATCAGTCCACTAAGCGCCTGACTGACTCATCCTCTCAACCATCCGTCCGTCCGTCTCTCTTCCGCCCTCCCTCGCCTCTCCCGTCTGGTCCACCCTCTCCACACTGTCTGCACCCGTCTCACCTCCTCAAGCAGCTGCTGCTCCATCGGTTCAAGTTTGTGGGCACCAGCTCCATCACAAACATGTCCATTATCGACATTGCGGGCACTTCAACGTCATCCGCCTGCACGCAGCCAACACACAGAGAAAGAGACAAATAAAAAATGCGCCCCGACAGTGGGGGAGATGGGTAGAGAGTGACATGTACTGGGTGGCATAGAGATGTGCGCCTTTCCTGACCGTGCTGAGGTTGGCGTGTGTGTGGTCCGGCCTTGCTATCCATCTCATCAGATGTCCCCACAACTCCCTGTCACACAGCACACGGCAGCCACTTGACCAACGGAGTGCTCTCTCCTCACCTGACGTACTCCACTAGGTACTCCATCCGTAACCCAGACGCAGACCTGTACCACACAGCATACAAACAGGAGACGCACTCATTTGGCGTCACGTCCGATGCAGTGCAGCGCCACACACCATCATCATGGCGTGAATGCAGCAAGAGATGCCAGCGACCTTTGCCTTTTGTCCCTTTCATACTCACCGTTATATGGTCTGGTTGCAGTGGCCTTGGCAGGGAAGGCTCCTCGCAACTCTTAATTCTCCTCTCGCCTTCCCTTCCGGCATCAGCGGTTTACGCTGATGAATGAACTTCTGGGGGGGAAATGCTCACAGCTCAGAGGAGTGCTCACGGCTCACAGGCAGAGTGCAGTGCTCGTTTGCTCCATTTCCATTCCCTGTCAGACAGCACATGGCAGCCACTTGACGAATGGAGTGCACCACGTGGCCTTACTCTCGCCTCACCTAGCGAGATCCATGACATGGCCTGACATGACGAGACACGGCGAGCAACTGGAAGAGTCCACCAGATATAAAATGTAGGCAGCGATGATCGGCCTGCATACACAAAGCAGAGAGACACACAATGTAGGGCTGTCCTGGATGTGTCGAGTCCTCTAGGCATCGACATGAGGCACTCACTACTCACCGTCCTCCTCATCGCTGTCGTCATCCTCGTCAGGCGGTGCGATCTCGGGCGGAGCCTCCCTTGGGGGTGGGGCGGTGGCGATGATCCTGAGAACGTCTGCATTCCATGTAGACACAGCACACAAACAGGGACACATGCAACATTTCGCCCATGTCTTTCGTGCCCATACAATAGCTAATAGCTGACCGGTGATGGTCTCGTCAGCGTAGCTGCCCAGCAAATCCCTCAGCTCCGCCGCCGACAGGCCTTTGGCGTGGCCCACTCACACCTCTCGGTAGACGTCGATGGCCCTGCGAGCGAGTGGCCTGGTGGCGTCCGTTAGGGAGCTGTTGCTGCGCAGCAGCCTGGCGCTGACCTCCTGGTGCTCCTTCTCCACTGCCTCCATGGTGGTGAGCCGGCCGTCCGCCACCGCCTCCATGACGCCCTCGATGGCCTTGAAGGCGGACCCATAGGCCATGCCTTCGGGGTAGACGTTGTCGAGGGCCAGCCACAGGATTGTGTTGGCGACGCAGACGATGTCGGAGTCGTACGAGATGGTCTCGTCCGGGCAGGATGACATCGTCGCCCGGCCCTCCATGATGGCCGCCGTGATCGTATCGAACGGCTGAAAGGCAAAGGAGAGGGACAGGACACACACACACACATTCACACGGTCGCAGCGGACGGGTGGGGAGGGAAGGGGAGGGGAGGGGAGGGTGGGATGGGTTGATGCTTACGCAGGCCAGGATGGACGTGTTTTTGGGTATTTTGGTGACGAAGCTCTTCGTCGCGGTGGCCGCCACTCGCACCATATCGAACATGGACTGCATGAAGCGGAGCATCCATCCATCCATCCAGCCATAGGCGTGTGGCGTGCCGTGTTTTCTCTCTGTCTGATGTGCCTATCGGATGCGCTGCATACTAGGCTGCCATCGGCCATCTGGGCGAGGTTGTACGTCCTCTGGCTCAGATACCGGCGGCCGCCCCAGGGCGGGTCAATGATGGCCTGCACAGCACAAACACATTCGCATGATGGACGTGTTGGCGTCTGTGCAGGTGGGTTGGTGGGTATGTCGTGTGTCGACTGACTGACCAGGTCGGCCGTGAAGCCGTAGTTGTCCATGCGGTCCACAACGGACTCATAGTCCTCGGGCAGCGCTAGTGTGGGCTTGACATCTGCACACCCATCCACACACACACACAGAGACAGAGTGGTGGTTGAATGAATGGGGTCGGTCTCTTCCTTGTATATTGCTACCGTATAGTTTTGTGTTGTGCTCGAGGAGCTCCACGTGGTCGGCTTCCTTATCGATGCTATACACACTCATGCCCTCTCGGAGCATGGCTATTGTGTCCCCCCCTGCGCAAACACACACACACACAAGCACGACACACGGGGCATTCATTCAGCCAGATGCAGTGTATGTATGTATGTGTGCTCGCCATGCACCTGGGGTACAACTTGCTGCAGCTGGCCGCCTGGTGCATGGCGATCGTTTCCGGACTAATGCTATATCGGGGGGGGGGGGGGTTGA